TCGGGTCAGGGAGGCTTGCGGTGCGAAGTTGATCAACCACATGCAGAACTATCCGCTGTGTAGTTGGAGTTCGATGGTAACAGAGCGAGGTTAAGCGTCACCGGTGACATGATGACGACGAATGAAGAGGACGAGGGGAATTGATCGCAGCGCCGCGCCGCGCCAATATGCCAGGCATTTGACAGCCAGGGCTGGTTGCGCACTGCAGGGCAGATCCGCCGTGAGACTGCGCCGTTAGAGCTGGCTGGGCACGCGGCAAAGGCCGACCCGCGATTGCCCGAGGAATTTTCGATAAGGACCGACGCGGACCATGCCGGATGTTAATAGATCCGCCAGTCAATGAGCGGAGGAGTGGTTACGCGGGGTGACCGCACCATCATCAAATCTTGGAGCACGACCCAGATCGTTGCCCCGTCATTGGGCGAGGCCGGAACTTTTTGGACAGGTGAATGAAGATCAACAGGTTCGGGCCTTCAGGCCGTGCCCAAGGGTGTAGCGTCGCAATCAGTTACCAAACGCGATGCCAGCTTCGCCGCTGCAATCGCGAGCAGAAAAGTCATAGGAAGCGTGAGTTACTCAGCGCGCCCTTCACGGCTGCAGGAAAGGGTTCAGAAAGGAACCGTCAGGAATCTAAAAGTCGGCACCGATGACAACACTGTAGTTGCACTAACCAAGCACATTAACGGATATACCCCCACCGAGCAAAAGCGCGCCACCGATTAGATTTCGTTGGAAGGGGGGGCACAGTTAAGCGCCGCCCGTTGAATGCTGACTTGCCGCGGCCATTCTGCTCGAGCGACTACTTCAAACAAGTTGAAGGATCCGCTTTCTTCTTGTCCTACATCGCCCACAGCCGCCACCAAGGGCTGCGCCGCGGCGGGCGGAGGCGAAGGTCGGCCAGTTCACGGCGGATTCGGCGATCCAGAAGTCTCCTTGCCGATAGACCACGTTGGACCGGGTTCTCGACCAGCGCGGGGGGGAAACCATTATTCTCAAGGCGGTTATTGACTCGCGCTTGCGCCGCTGCGACGGCCGTGCGAGGAAGAGAGAGCGCGTCGGGACATGGAAAACCACGCCATCGCCGAGGTAGCGGCCGAGCGAGACGACGCAGTTGAAAAGGCGGCGGGCTTCGAGGCCCAAGTCGAGGCACTGGGCGCAAACATCGGCTCGTTGCATCGCGGCCGCATCATGGGCGATGAGGCCAGGGAGGTTAGGCGCCGCGGGGTCGCGGGCGACTTGGCGACGACCTTTGAGTTAACGCGCCAGGTTGGAGCTGCACTTCAGGAGCTGTTTGAAACAGCTCACTGCCTTGCGACGGCCTCGGCTGCCTCGGCGTTGGGCGCGATTGCCAGCTTCGCGCGCACCGTCCATCATGGCGCGTTAAGAGATGGAGCCGGGGACCGGCGTGCGAGCGTTATCTCCTGCTTCCTCGCGCGCGCTGCCCAGGGTGGCCCCGATGCGCGGGGGCGGAGGCACGCCGTTGCGCGCGACGCCCGCCGCCGCGCCACCTCCCGAGGGGCCGCCCGCGCAGCTTCCAGAATTGAAAGGGGCGCCCCGGCCGGTCGAAATTGAGGAACCGCGCGGAGAGCCGGTTGAGCGGGGAAGCCGGCTGACGATAGTTCGGGGATATTTCAGGAGCGCAACAGAAGCCGCACCCTGTAGCAGCAGCGCTGCGAGTGGCAGCGGGCCATTGAATTGCCCCCGCCGATCGGCGTCGCCAGGCCGCCAGCGAAGCCCCCGACGCCCGAAGAGGCGGCCAGCTCCATGGCCGGCACCGCCATCGAGAAGCACCGTCAACCCAGCTGTGCTCCAACAACGTTAGAGAAGAGGACATCGAGTTAATCCTTACTTTGTTCAGACTTGAAGGGCCCTTGCTGGTTAGCGCCAGGAGTGCGCGCCTTCTGGGGCAACCAGTATTTCGCGTCGCTGGCAGGGCGACAAGCGGCCGCGCGAGCTCCGGGACCCCACGGGGCAGGTTATCTCATTTGGAGATTTGTCAAATCCGCAATGGCAGTCGCGCGTTCCGCTGCGGAGATTGCCTGTGAGTTGTGATATTTGCCTTACTTGCGCGGACCGCTCCTTTGGCTGGTCCAGTCATCTGGCCACCGGCTCCCTTCGACGCAGGTTAGTCGCATTCGTGAGTTTCCTGCAGGACCATCGCGCCCCTTGGCGGCCGGCTGACTTCGATCCTGCCATCGTCGATTTCGACTACAGTTATCCAGGCGACCCGCGCCGCAACGCGCCTTGGATTCAAGCCCTCACCCAAGCGGCCCCCGAACTGCAGGAGGACGAGTTAATCGATGTGTTACGCATGATGTTTGGCATGTTATTGGCAGGAAACCCTGCGGTGATCGGCGTTGACTTGCTGTGCGGGGGGCCGCGTAGCAACCGCGTCGAGATCATCGCCTGCAAAGTTACCGTGCGGTTCGTGATTTTGGAATCGGCTGGATTCTTTTCGAAATTGGCGGGCCGCGCAGTTAACCTGCATGAGCAATGCGACGCGCCGCAATCGTTAACTGGGGGCCAGTTGAATCACCCGCGCGAAGCTCCCAACGTCTGCTGGTGCCACACCGTGTCCAAGGTCGAGCCATGGAGGTCGCGATGCACGGTCGATGGCTGTCACCCCATGTTTCCGCCAAAACGCTCTGGCGTGCGGCGCCGTACCAGAAGCAAAAGCAAAAACGAGGCGTGTGTTGGCAGGCGCGGTTGTTGGCTTTCGATGTCGACCTCTGGGCGATGGGTGGCAGGCGGATGCCCGACCCCCACTCCAGCAAGGAGTTGTTGAGGATAGGGTGGGACTTGAACGCCAGTTTCCCTTGTTACCTTCGCAACCCAGATCGCGCCTATTGGGAGGCCACGGGCAGGTACGACAACCTTGTGGAGAAGAGCGCTCAACGGAGGCGTGATGACGATTACGGATGTTGTGTTAACGAAAAACAGCACAATAAAGCGTATTGTTCCACGAGTACGTGTGACCCTGCTGACATTGTTAATCGGATGCGTGTTTTTAGATGTTGCAACACGCCGGAGCACGCTAGGATGCGAGGCGGACGCGCGTCCATTCCGCCAAGGTAGACGGCCAACAAGTATCAGTGTTCCGCGATATTATTCCTCATCCCGTTTTTCCTACTCTCGTTAGAGAAGATGTTCAATATTTGCTTGCATGATTCGGTGCGGAATTAAAAAATCGTATCGCGTGTTAGCAAGCCCATGCACTTTCACGCCCACACCATAGTCGCCTTCGGCCGCCTGCGCCAGTTATACATTAACTTACTTGTTCGTTTCGCTTGACTTGCTAGGTTGGAGACCTGGCTTCTGTGCGCTACTCAGCTGCTTAAAATTATTCCGTAACCTGGTCGGTGTGTTGTTTGCATATCCCCGTTTTCATATTCAGCTTGCCAGCCGAATGGAAGTGTCAAGATTATGCTGCGATTTGGTGTGCAGGAGACGCTGGCGAATTCGTCATACGCATGTCGTTACCGACGCCGTTTTGGCTCAAGTAATCAAGTGTAGCGTGCGCTGGGCATCGCTGCTCAACAAATCTCATCGATCCGTTGTCGTGCACTTCCGCTTCGGGAGTTTCCAAAGATGATGATTGACGGAGGAGGGGGTGGAAGATAAGGAGGAGGTGGAGGAGGTGGAGAAGGCTGAGAGAGAAGCACGGCATGGAGAAAAAGAGGGGGAGGAGGTGCAGGAGAATGAGGAGGACGAGGAGGAGGGAAAGGAAAACGAGGAGGAGGAGGAGGAGGAGGAGGAGGAGGAGGAGGAAGAGGAGGAGGAGGAACGGGGGGGAGGACGGACGATGGGGAGGAGGAGGAGGAGGAGGAGGAGGAAGAGGAGGCGTACTCACGTCTACCCGCTTTGAAGGAGCGCATAGGTGAGTTTTATTCGCAAGCCGAGCCATCGATCCGTCCTTCTTGCAAGCCCCTCTCCTGGCTTCGCTCCCCGTTCCTCCCCCTCCTCGTCCTCAGCCCCAGCAACTTCCAAAATCCGAGGGTGGAGGCTATATTTCGCTTCTGGATGTTATTGCCCCCCAGTCTAAAAATGTTTTTCTCTTGCTGATGGGCTCGTTCGTTTCGTGTTTGCCTTCTGGCTCGTTGTCCTTCCCCTCCACCTTTTATTGAGCCTGTAGGTTGTCGTCGTCCTCATATTCCTGTTCCCCTGCCCCCTCCTTCACATCCTCCTCCGCGTCCTCCGTTCTCAACCTGTGTAAGTGAGTTCCCCCGTCACTGCTGCACAACATCGGGAGCCTCCACGTTGCATGACGCCACCTTCAGCAGCGGACGAAGCGATTCAGCTTGAGTTCCAGACCGCACGTTGACGAGTTCGCAGACGCAGGCGATTACTACAGCTATGGGCAAAGTGGGCAGTGAACACTTAAACAAACGTTGGGAAGGGTATTCGGTTTGGGAAGTCATGTGGTTAGATCTGCGTCGTGGGCTCCACACCGACATGCATGGAGGATCTTGGTTAGCGCGGTAGCGCCCACATGGAAGACGTCACGGGTACAAGTTCCACGCATGGAGGTGGGAACACATGTATTTGGAATACCCATGTCGGCCTCGAGAGGCACTATCAGCTCTCGTACAAAATGTTGCGTTGGCCTGCGAGAGAAATTCATGACACGAAAGTTCATATGTTGGACACGTGGCACGCGACTCGGCTATGTTCCGCGTCGCCGCGCTGCTCAGTTCTGCCTTGGCGTCAAGTCATCACCGCTTGTGATTGCCGCGTTTATGTACTGCTAAGCGCTTCCTCCCTCCTCTTTTTCCTCCTCCCTTAGCCTCCTGGGAGGCGACTGCGACGACGCCCGACGACGACGACGACGTCCGCCATGACGCCTGACGACGACGAATCCCGCCGCCGTCGTCACCGTCGTCGCCCGACGAAGACGTCGTCGTCGCCGTCGTCGCCCGACGAAGACCAGCGGCGCCGCTCGACGCCGCTCGACGGCGCCGCTGCCGCTGCCGCGAGTCCCCCAGGGGCGCGCGGCGGGCCAGGCGAGCGACAGCACCGACGGCGAGGAGGTCGCCGCGGGCCACCAGCTGCCCTCCTCCAGGAGCCCCACGAGGAGCCCACCCGCACCGCGGCCGCGGCGCTGCGGGGGCGATGCTCCGAGCCCAGCTGCTCGGAGCAAGCCCCGGAGGCCTGGATCCCAGGCGCCCATCCACAAGCACGCCGTTGAATGCCCGGCACCGTGAGGTCGCACGACGCGCCTTTCCAAAGTGCCCCACCCCGTTTGGCACGGAAAAGAAACTGTTCCGCCGTGGCCTCCGCTGTTGGGGCACCAAGGGTGCCTCGGGGACCCCCAAGCGGTGCGGTCACCACACCGTGTGGTGAGTCAATGGGGATGCGCTGTCACCGCACGGTTTTGGGGCCTGGGTCCTTCTGCGAGGCCGTCTCGGGCGGTGGGGGCCTCTGGGGTCCCAAGACCGTGCAGTGCCAGATCGTGCGGGAAGGTCGTTGGGGGCTCTGGGGTCACCGCACGCTGTGTCGCCGCACGGTTTCGGGATCCCCAGGTGCCAGTCATCACCTCGTCTTCTGGCTCCCGCGGTGGCAGGGGGGGAACACGGAGGAGAGGGACGGAGGAGAGGGAGGGAGGAGAGGAGGGAGGAGAGGAGGGAGGAGAGGGAGGGGAGGGGAGGGGAGGGAAGGGGAGGGGAGGAGAGGGGAGGGAGGCAGGGAGGCAGGGAGGGAGAGGAGGAGGAGGCGGAGGAGGAGGAGGAGGAGGAGGAGCAGGAGGAAGAGGAGGAGGAGGAGGAGGAGGAGGAGGAGAGGAGCTTGTCGTCGTGGTCGACTGTCGTCGTCGTCGTCGCCGTCGTCGTCGTCGTCGTTTCGTACTTCAGCGTTTCTGGGGGCTCTCGTCGCCACCGCTCGACGTAGCTCAAGAAACTTGCTGGGCTCGTTCTCTGGAGGGTGGTGGGGGCAGTGCTGACCAGATGTTGGTCGCATCCGTCGTCAACGTCGCCGCCTGCTCCTTCCCCAGATCTGTACCAGAGAGCGTCTTGGCCCCAGGAAGAGCGACCAGAGACCTATATCATTGATCCCCCCTTGTCCTCCTGCTCTTCTCTGCTGTCTCAGCCTCTTTCCTCGTCGTCCTCATCCCGCTCCTCCTCTACGACCCCCAAAAAAGGCTGAGCACGTTTTCAGAAAGGACGGTTCCTCTCTTTCTCCTGATTTTTCCATTCGACATCATCGATCTCCAGAGGGCCATCCTTGCCAAGTTTTTCTTGCTGCATCGACTTCTGACGGTGCCAGGGGCCCGAAAAGGGCGTCCAGAGTGCGAACATAAAGAAAGCATATTCGCACATCCTCCTCCGCCTCCTATCTTCCTCTGAATCCGCCCAAGGTTCTGCCATTCCAGGGCCCATCCCACGTAGCTTGTTCTGCGAGCTGCGCTCAGCCGTGGCGACGAGAACGTTCAGAGACGTCTGACAACCTCGGGAACGACGATGAAAATCCACGACGACGACGACGACGACGACGACAGTAGTCGACTTCGACGACAGTAGTCGACGACGACAAAGACAAAGACAAAGAAGAAGACGAAGACGGGGTCTCTCGAGGGCTCAGAGATCGCCAGAGGCCTCTGGAGGCCCTGGGAGGCCGCTGGAGGCTCCAGCAGAGGCGGCAACACGCCCAAGAGCCTCGAGCCTCGGCCCTCCCCGGAGGATCGGAAGCCTTCGTTCCGACGTCGAGCCACCTCCACATTGGAGGACCAGGCCTCCCGGGACTTCTTGAGCCCGCAGGGCGGTAGTCACGGCGGGCCCAAGGAGCAACGGGCACGCCAATCTCGCAGTCAGTATGTGTTCGGGGGCACGGCTTCGACAAGGCTCGGTACCAATCGTTGACACGTTCCCTTTGAGGCCATCTTGGCCCTCGTGAGGGGTCGGGGGATGCGATCTTGGCGTGAGTTTGGTGCCGTTTTGCAGTGACGGTCACAATCGATTTGTTGCTTCTCGATGGGCTTCGCGAGGCGAGGCCATCTGGGGGACTCGTATGGCATGCTTGGGCCTCTTAACAGGCCTGGGATGCAGCTGACGGCCTCCCGGTGTCCACGGGCCACGAAGTTCGTGAGGTCTGTGAAATGGTGTTCATTTGAACCGTTTTGACGGGCTAGTTGAGAGCCCCTGGGGACCCGTCATGCGTGATTGGTGTGCCGGCATGAGGATCCCTTCAGCCGTGTTGAGGCACAGCTGATCGCCTCTGGAGGTACATGAGGCGCACAGAGCAGTGTGTGCGTATGTACATGTGTGTATGTGTGTAGGTGGTTGTGTGTGTGAGTACGCGTGTGTGTGTGTGTGTGTGTGAGTGTGTGTGTGTGTATGTTCGTGTATTTGTTGGTGGGTTGGTGTGTGGGTCGGTGTGTGTGTGTGTGCGCGAGTGTGCGAGCGTGCCGAAATTATGACTACTGGAGCCGCCTTGTGGGCGGACTCAGGGCCATTGAGGATCTATTGGCCACGAAGTGCGTGAGTGGTGCGCCGAACTGAGGCTCCCGATGCCCGTGTGGGGCCCCGAATGAAGGCCTCTGGAGGTCGAGAGACGTGCCGAGCTGAGGGCCCCCAGGAGAATCCACGCGCGGACGCCCCGATGGACCAGCGGAATGAGCGAGGCTGCTCCTAGAATGCATGCTTCGTGCCATCTCCATCTTCCTCAAGGTCACTTTGACTCAAGGTCACTTTCACTCTTTACTCAACCATCTTACAGCTTGCGCTTCCGATGGCGTCTGCCTCTTCGGGTGATGGCGAAAAGCGTCTCCCGGGTACTCCTGTCGGGCAGTTGTTCAAGGTTCATCGGATCCACAGCCCGCTTCATGAAATGGACGGGCTTGAAGACCGAGAGGACAGTGGGAAGATATCCACGCCGGCGGGGGGGGGCCACATCTGAGACGACGAGGAACGGTAACATCACCATGGAGTCGAGGGCACAGCTCTTCAAACCACATCTTCGTCCAATCCAGGCGGACATATAGGTCATCAAGGCGCGCGGTGTCTCCCGGCAGGGCCTCGAGGACGCCGTGAACCCATTGAAGGAGGAGGCCCAAGACATCACCACCAGAGTGGCCGGTTTGGAGACTCATCCATCCCGTCCAACGTCAGCGAGGAGTGCGAGTGCTGCGTCGCCCGGGACGGCTTTGGAAGCGAAGCTACACGAACTTGAGGCCCAAGTCGCCGCACTTCGCTTCTCTCTCCGCATCAGGCCCCGACAGCAACGCCCGCAGGCGACAAGCGCCATCTTTCGGCAGTGTTTTAGGGAATCCTGACAGTTTCGACTCGCTTGCAGCAGGCCTGCTCAGGTTCATGACCGCACACAAGGGCTGATTTTATGATATTGTCTTGGCCGAGTTTGGGCACACGGCCGATAGAGATTCCGTAATGGCCTTCGTTGGGAATGCTACTTTGCAGCGCGATGGGAAACAAATTTGGGCTGGGCTACCTACCCAAGACAGAGTTCCTTTTGCCTGGGCGGCGCGCAACGCTTGTTTTGGTATCAAACACTTTCTCAAGAACAAGTTAGGTATCACCTACACGATCCGGGTGGTGGACGAGGAGCCGCGCGCAGTCCACGTCGTCGGAAACTTGATGTTGACCGCCGAGGTCTCCGAGAACACGCTCGTGTTAAAATGGTCGGAGGAGTGGCAGACTTGGAGGAACCTTGAAGGCTCCCCTGAGCTTCAGGATATTGTCAACAAGTGCGAAGGCATACTTGGGCGCTCTGTGAGGGGAATGGAAGGAGCAGGCAAGGGATCCAAATAGGGATCGCGGCGGGTGCCAGCCCAGGCCGGCGCTGGAACCGAACGTGCGCGCCTAATTGATCACCGTTTTTGCGGACATACTTCTTCGAGACCGTTAGGAGGTCTTCCGCTTCCGCCATCGCCCCCAGAAGCCCGCGACGGAAACTACAGCCGTTGCCAGCAACGTTCTGGGCAGCAAGTGGCGCCTCGCACAATGCTTCGATACTGGGGGTCGCGGAGGAGGGCAAAGCTACCGCTGCGACAACCCGACCCACGGAACCGCTCGACGAGCAAGATCGCTGGAGTAACCGCTCCGGATGGATTCGGGGACGCAGTAAACGTCATTGTGAGCCGCTGGTCGATCAGGTTCTAGCAACGCGGAGCGTTGAAGGTTTGGGTCAGACTTGCGATCATTCACCAGAGCTGCTCCATCATATGACCCGCTTCGGCATCGACGTTTTGCGCATCCATGTCTCGGGCGCGCGAACAGCAACACATGTCTCCTGGATTCCAGGAGACAGGAATAACTGAGACATCACATGTCATGGAGATTGGTTTTGTGGTTATTCTATCAGGCACATCGGAACACACCAAAGGCCAGTTCTTCTCTCGTCGGCTTCATTGTTGCACCGCGTGCGGCTGGGGCAGCCATTAGCTTCGAACTGATATCCGACCAGCTCGCCACCCTGAAGTTGAGAGTTCATGGTGGGGCTTGTCTGGTTATTTATTGCTGCGCCCCGCGTGCTCGATGTAGCATTGAAGTGAGGCATAAATTCTTCGCTGCGTTGTCGAACGCATGGCAGCCGACAGGCAAGCGCAACGCTACCATCGCAATGGGCGATTTTAACGCGAAGCTTTTCTCCAGGGGGCCCAGGGGGGGCGCCGTCGTCAGCAATGACGTCATCAAGTGCAGGTGGCCGAAGAACGGGGAGAGAGCGAACGGAGATTTTTTCTTGGAAACGCTGCGTTGCGCCACGGGCGCGGTGATCGCCAGCGCCCCTCTTCGAGCTGCGCGGCGAGAGTTTGGCTGCGCATTATTTGCCGCCTCGGGGCCGGCTCGCGGAGTCTCGGAGGCCTCCTTAGGGCCTTCTTGGCGCCCTCTCGCCACCCGAGGCGCACCCGGCCCTTTCAATGCCTGGTTCGTCATTGAAATCGGATCGAAGACGCGGTCGCAGCCCGACTTGCTAGGAGTATCCATCGAATAACAGCTGTCACTTACGCCAGCAGCTGCGCCCCGACTCGCTGCGACAACGACGTCACGCCAGGGTTCCCCTAGCATCAGTCGAACAGCGCAGCCCTCGTCATCCGCGCAATCAGCGGGCCCGCGCGCGCGCGAGTG